GTTGCCGAGGTTCCACGTGATCCTTACCCGTCTCTGGCCACACGTCCTGCATAAACAGCCGCCATCCGAGGAAGGCAGGGAGGGAGGAGATCGGCTGGGGACCCCATGCGCCAGACGTTGCCGGCCCACCACCTGCTCTTGGGTGATCAAGCAGGATCACTATGCTGAGGTTCAATCAAGTTCTTAGGGGATCTTACTCTCTAGCAGGGGTAGCAAATTAGTAGCCACTCAGTGATCACTTTGAGAATTACTTATATCATAAATTTGAGCAAGTAGCTGATGAATATCCACATCAAGCCTCAATTTTCATTAAAAGATTCTCTAGGCAAATTATTGAATGATGCAGAAAGGATCAAGAGAAGATGGAAAGAATACACAGAGTCACTATACCAAAAGGATATGGTTAATGTTCAGCCATTTCAAGAGGTAGCATATGATCAAGAGCCAATGAGACTGAAGGAGCAAGTCCAAGGTGCACTGAAGGAACTGGCAAAGAATTGATGGAATACAACTTGAAATCTTTCAAGAAAGTGAGGCAGCACAGAAGGCACTCACTCAACTCTGCCAAGAAATTTGGAAGACAACTATATGGCCAACTGATTGAAAGAGATCCATTATTTGTGCCCATTCCAAAGAAAGGTGACCCAACGGAATGCGGAAATCATCGAACAATCTCTTTGATGTCACATTCGAGTAGAGTTTTACTAAAGGTAACACAGATACTGCTGCAAGCATACATTGACAGAGAACGTCCAGAGGTTCAAGCTGGATTCAGAAGAGGCCACGGAACCAGGGATATCATTGCTGCTGTCCCATGGATCTTGGCTGAAAGCAGAGAATATCAGATGTTTACCTGTGCTTTAATGACTGCCAAGGCTTTCGATTATGTGGATCATGACAAGCTATGGACAACATTGCGAAGTATGAGTATTTTGGAACACTTAATTGTGTTCATGAGGAATCTGTACCTGGACCAAGAGGCAGTTGTTCGAACAGAACATGGGTACAATGAATGGTTTAAAATAAAGAAAGGTGTGCGACAGGGTTGTATTCTTTCACCATACTTATTCAATCGGTATGCTGAGCAAATAAACTGAGAAGCTGGGTTATATGAAGAAAAACGTGGCACCAGGATTGGAGGAAGACTCATTAACAACCTGTGATATGCAGATGATACAACCTTGCTTGATGAAAGTGAAGAGGACTTAAAGTACTTACTGATGCAGATCAAAGAGCACAGCCTTTGGTATGGATTGCATCTCAATGTTAAGAAAACAAAAATCCTCACCACTGGACCAATAAACAACATTCTCATCAAAGGAGAAAAGATTGAAATTGTCAAGGACTTCATTCTTCTTGGATCAACTATCAACACTCACAGAAGCAGCAGTTAAGAAATCAAACGATGTGTTGCATTAGACAAATCTGCTGCACAAGACCTTTTTAAAGTGGTGAAGAGCAAAGATGTCAGCTTGAAGACTAAGGTGCACCTGACCCAAGCATTGGTATTTTCAATAACCTCATATGTATGTGAAAGCTGGACAGTGAATTAAGAAGACCTTAGAAGAACTGATGTCTTTGAGTTATGGTGTTGGAGAATAATGAAAAGTGCAATGGGCTACCAAAAGAACCAATAGAGAGATAACAAAAGATATGTTTTGGAAGAAGTGCAGCCAGAGTGCTCCTTGGTGGCCAAGATGGCCAAACTTCGTCTCTTATACTTCACACATATTGTCAGGAGGGACCAGTCGCTGGAGAAGGATATCATGTTTGGTAAGGTGGAGGGTCAGAGAAAAAGAGGAAGACCCCCAACGAGATATACTGGCCAATTGGCAGCATCGATAGACTCAAGCATGGCAACAGTAGTGAGGTTGGCCCTGGTTCAGGCAGTGTTTTGTTCTGTGCATAAGGTTGCTATGAGTTGGTCCCGACTTGATGGCACCTAACAACAACTATAGGAGGCTGGCCAGGAATTATGTGATGTAACTATATGACCAGTGATTCACAAGTTTGTGAAAAAATTCCCTCACCTTTTTCATTCCATTTTTTCCATGGACTTTCTGAAGTTCCCTAGCACTAGCCTCACAGCAAGTCTGCTTCATTATACCAGCATATCACATTTAGTACATGATACATATCTCTAATATTTACAGACTAATATGGCTAAATTCTCTTCAATGATACCCTGCACAAAGAATCTTACAAAATATTTGAGGAAAAACTAAGGGAGATCTACTCATATCTTTGTACTACCATGGATTAAAATTTAAAGTCTATAATAATTTTGACCACTCAACAGAAGTTCATTTTTGACCAATCTATAGAAAAAAGTACTTACTGCATAAAACATTTTAGCCATAATTTTAAACTCTATGTCACCAACATCCAGAAAGGAAGATTAGTATCAGTCAACTGGAGTTTTACAATAATTCCTACATATTTTAAACCAAAATGAGGAAGAGGGAAAAGATAACGGACTCTATTAACTACCCCAATTGCTGCAGCTGGGGGAGGGAGAATATAGAAAGATGGGCAACAATCTTGAGAGCACTTACCATCAAGTCTCTTCAGCAGGTCATTCTTTGGTAAGGAAATTACTTCCACAAATTCTAAACAAACAAAGTGCAAGTGAAAACAGACTGAAAGACTAAGAGAGCCTACCAAAACAACCCAGAATGTCTAAGCCGTAGATGTGGTCAGCCACAGCGAGTTGAATACCATACCTCCATCCTCTGAAAATAAACAGAGAGAGAAAATGTTAGCAAGGCTTGGAATGAGGAAACACTATAAAGCTTTCTGGTACAAAACGTAATTAAATAGGCTGTAAAAATTTAATGGGAACCTGGATATCCACCAACAGTTTATATACATTACAAAAAAAAAAATCTTCAAAATTTTATTAGCAAAACTTAAAAGCATATTCTGAAACATGCATATTTGGTAGCTTAAAAGCTGAGCATTTAAAGTGAGCTGCAATGTAATACTGAAGCAGACATGAACAACCAACCAAAAAAACCAAACCCACTGCCACTGACTAAAGAGCCTGAGCCATGCAAGTACACCATAGTCATACACTGTGGTGTGGATATAAAATCCCCTTTCTAAGATGGGACATGGAATTGACAGAAGTATTAGAGCTTTTGATTCCAAACTTTCCAAGAAATAAAGAACAAAAACGTTCCTAACAGGTTCTCTACGAAATCAATAAGGAATGGTTAATTTAGATGCTGCCTCTTAACCATTAGTTATTGAAGCTATTCTTGAAATACATGTGAAGAAAGACACCAGAGTGATTTTCAAGTTTCTCATTATTTCCTGTTAGGCCTACACTTTTATTACTAAATAAGTAGTGGTTGGCGGTTGTATGCCATGGAGTCAGTTCCGACTCATAGCAACCCTGTATAGGGTTTCCGATAAGGAAATTAGTGAACATTTTAAATAAATTTAACAGTGAAGTAGAAAAATGAAAAATCTAGAATACGCAAGAGTAACAAATTACCAAGCATACTGATGAAATGTCTATGCTTTTAACAAATCAAAGCAAACTAGTAGCAAGTTAAAAAAACGCTTAATGCATTTCAATGACCTTAACACAGTGAACACAGACTTACCAGGCTTTGATTTAGGTCTCACATTTTCAGCATCATCTCCGTTAATGGTTACTGTTACAATGTGCATAGTACAATTAGACAAGCCTGGATCCATACATACAACTACGGAAAGAAGAGACAGTTAATCTTATAAGGCACATGCCAGATGCTTTGATTGTTTTTTGTCATGTTTCACTCCTTATACGTAATAGGAGGAAAACTGGGCTTATAATTGATATTTAGCATAGAATTTATGCAGGAGAATTAGCTTATCATATTCACTCAGTCTAAAGTTGTAGGACTGCAGAGCGTATGCATAGTTAAGTACACATATTTTCTCCAGAGTTCATGAATAAAGTTTGGTAACTGAGGGTTCATATGCTACTGGCAAGTTGTAAAATGCTTTTTAACACCACAAGAAACAAAAATTAAGCGTCTTCTAGTGAATAATCTGACGTGTAGATGAGAGACTGGCATAGTACGTGGGAAATTCAGAAAGGCAATCTCAATTATTCTGCAACTTCATTGAGGTCCTTCTTGCTCAAACATATTCTCAGGAGGAAGTTTACTTGTAAGTGGTAACCAACCCTAATCTATAATTTTTCTTCAGTGAATTAGCATAAATAAAAGCCATCTCAGTTTTGACCATAAAGAAAAGCCAAGTCATCATTTTATACCTACAGGAATTAATTGCTGCATTAATTTTCAAGCGTTTGTTCCCATGAGCACAATCAGAAATGTATACAAACCTGGAGAACATTCAGCAATGTCACCTTTATAACCAGTTTCTTCCTCAAGTTCTCGAAGAGCAGCTGCTTCTGGACTTTCATTATCATCTATGAGACCTGGAAGTCCACATTATTTATGTTAAGTGGAAAAGAAAATTACGATATCCTTTCACCCTTTCCTTCTTCTAACGTAGCTGCCACTGAGCGACAGAAACACTAGAGGCTTTGAAAAGTCGTCTTACCGACAAAATGGAGGCTTGGAACGTTTACAGGAGGAAAAAAAATACGGAATTATACCTTATAGACAAGTTAAGTAGACTTTGATAACATCTTTTTCTCTTTTTAAAAGGTTATAGTTTTGTTTTTTTCATGCATATCGCAACACTAACATTTTTTGAAGGCACAGACAGCATTTTCTCTAGGGAAGAGAAATGACGTGGTAGAGATGAAAGGGCTTAGCTATAGCACAGGAAGCCTATGAACCTTTTCTGTTTTCTCCTACAGGATGGTGACAGTATTACATAGTTTCCTTCTTCCCTCCCAGAAAAAGAAGGAGGCCTTCTAGTGAAAAGCAAAGACGAATGTCACTTGTGAGGGAGAAGAACAGAAAACAGTGAACTGAAGGCCAGTGGACTTTATGTAACCACCATGTTCATTGTGAGGACCAAGTAGAGAGAAGCTACGTGAAAAGAGAGTAGGAAGATTCTTTTTCCTGAAATGAATAAAAAATATAAACAGTGAAATATAGATCACTGTTCTTCAGTTCCTTTGTGCAAATTAATTTCTTCAATGAGATGGTGAGTAAATAAGAAAAAAAAAAAAAGAAACAGCTAGAAAGACTCTAAAAAATATAAAACAAACTACTGATGACAAGGTTTAATCTCATCCGAATGGGACAATCCATTAAAGCCCTATAATAATACAGATGAACTACTGGATAGCTTTAAAATTGTAAATAAGAATTTAAGATGACAAATTTTGAAAAAGCTTGAAATTACTTAGAGAAACTAGCGAGAATACGGTGAAGAGGAGGATGGCGTGGCTTGAAGGGAAAGCTGTAATGCCATCTCTTACTTGGCCTTCTTGTTTACATGATCACTAGAGTGTGGCTGGTGGCCTGGAGGAGACACTTCAGTTTTTTTATTTACAACCACACACTCAGATGAAATGAGGGTTAAATGTGACCAGGCGGCCTAGAGGAGACTCTTGGCTCTGTTTCATTACAGCCACATAGACAGATAAAAGGGAGCTACACGTCAAAGCATGGCAGCTCCTGGGCTTTGCTCTGGCCCGATCCACAGTCACTGAGAAGCAATTCTATCCCTTTACTTAGGCGCTGTAGGATAAGCACCAGACCGCTAACCACCAGGTTGGCAGTTTAAATCCACCAGCCGCTCCATGGGAGAAAGATGAAGCTTTCTGTTCCAATAAAGATTGACAGCCTTGGCAACCCTATACAGGCTCACTATGAGTCGGAATCAATTAGATGGCAGTTGATTATTTAGCAACTCACCTGCGGGGAATTCTATGCAGTAGCCACCCATTGGGGGTCGGAACTGTTTCACCAAGACAATACATTCATAGTGAAGAGTTCTTTGCAGGACTGGGATAATCGCCACCCCTGTCACCAGAAAATACAAGCAGGAAACCCACAATAAATGCTCTGTAGTGCCAGTCAGTTGCTGAGCAACACTAAAATCTCGTATTTTAAAGACGCCTCCCATCCAACTACCCTCTATGTGTCATTAACAATAAAAAGTTAACTTAGCCAACAATATGGGCAGTTAACTTGGGCAACTATTCTCAGAGAAGAAACTATCAAACTTCCGTGTTTTTTGTTTTTTACAAAAACCTTATTTTTATTGTCAAATTTCTTCATGATAAAATCAAAACTAAAGTTACACACCCAGTACAAGGTCAGGGTCATAAATCTATCTACACTATTCCCTATGTAGAACTTTTTCTCATCTGGCTGAGCCATTTGTTAAGTCTTAGATTTTCCTAAAGGAATAAATCAAGTAAGTCCGTTTCTAGAAGATGCTAGTTAGACTCAATTATATATGTATGTATAGTCTTGGTGTGGTGTCACAGGATAAGCACACTACCCTCAAGGTTGGTATGAACCACAAGGTTGGTGGTTCAAACTCACCAGTAGCTCCTCGGAAACCCTATACAGGTTCCCTATGAGACAGAACCGACTCGACAGCGTATAACAACAACAACGTATACATATATTTAAAATAAAAGACTTTCTCTCCTGTGTAATTTGGCTTAATCAAAACAATAACAAACCCCACTGGGTTCTAGAAAACACAAACCAGCCAGCAGGAGCACTTGGTTCCTCCTGAATACTCTCATCAGTTAAAAACAGCGGCTGCAGCAGAACAATTGTTTGCTTCGGAACAAACAGAAAATAAAGTGGAAAACTCAAAGACCCATTGCCCAACTTCCCCTAGACCAGAGGTGATTTTCAGGATTGTTTCTGGGGTCTTTCCAGTCAAAGCACTCATGCCTGGAAGGGAAAGTGAACTGAATGAATTGTCTTTTTCCAAATTTCAATTCCTCATCAACTTATAAAGCAAGTGTTTGATAAGAATAAAGTGATGTTGAATAATTTCTTCAAATGAAAGGTTCTCATTTAGATCCTTTGAACAGAAGAGTAGGTACTTCTAGAAGTCATAGCATTATATATATGATTTATATTTGGTTATAAATATCAGTAGGAGTCCCTGGGTGGTTCAAACGGTTAAGCACTTAGCTACTAACCGAACGGTTGGCAGTTCAAATCCACCCAGAGGCACCATGGAAGAAAGGCCTGGCGGTCTACTTCCGAAAGATCACAGCCAATGAAAACCCTATGGAGCGCAGTTCTACTCTGAAACACACAGGGTCACCAAGAGTCGGAAATCAACTCAACAGCAACCGGTTTTTGGTTATAAAAATATCAGTATATCTACCCCTCAAAAACACTGTTCTGATCTTAGATAATTGGAACCTGGAGTTATTTACAAAGTAAACTTGTTTAGTAACGGCAATGAAAAAAGACCACAATTTAATATAACTGCTCAGAGGACTTGGTTACAATAAAAGTATGAAATGAAAAAACTACACCTAGTCACCTACCACAGCAGTTGTTAGCTTCCCTTATAAAGACAGTTGTAATACATTTGTAATCATACCATCAGCTGACTGTCCTTTCCTGGTTGTACGTTTCACGGTTTCCCATGTTCTGTTCATGCAAAGATGGAAAAACAAAATCAGTGGAGTTAAAGCGAATTAGGTTTTCTGTGTACAATGAGAGCTTCACAAACTGCAAGCATGCAAATGCACTAATGATATGGGTCAAGAAGACAAAGATAATAAAGACTTGTATTTTTCAAAAAGCCAATGTTTTCATACAGTGTCTGAAAATACCAATTAAAAATGTGCCACACACCTAGCCCTTTGGATGCCATCTAAATAGAAAACCAGTTAAGCATTTGAACTAAAACTTTCAAATCTTTTCTCTGAGTACTTTAATTGGTTCATAAGTCTTTGAGGGGCAGAAAGCTCATGACTTCATCTTTAAAGGCTATTTATTAAGCAGTTAATGCACACAAAGTCCCCTCTGAAAATTCTCTCTCTCTTAAAAATCAAAAGGTACTAAATAAAATATGAATTGCAATAGTTACTTTATATTTTAAAAACATGACTTGAAAAACACAATTTCAGAAACTAGGCACTTTCCATTTAACAAATAAGGAGTTATTATGTTGTGGTGCTTTCCATGAATGAAGTCTTATCTAAGGAGGGAAACTGTCCCCTAAAGAACTTTTTGTAATTTTTGTCTCAGTAACTTTGAGCAAAGAAGTACTGGAACAATCATGTTTAAAGGAGGTGTGGGTGATGCCAAATTCCCCTTTATCTCACTTATCCTTTAAGTAGGTAAAAGCAGTGATAAAACAGGGAAGCAACAAATAATTCTGGGATCTCTTCTAATAGAAGTAAGATATCAGAGTGGCTGTGGGACTTAAGAGAAGAAGTTGAAATCTGCCTCCTTAAAGTTAAGGTTCTTGATCTTCATCAGTATTTTAAGTCCTCTTTATTTTCAACAAGTAAGGTTGTATCATCTGCCTGGCACAGGTTGTTAATGAGTCTTCCTCCAATCCTGATGCCACGTTTTTCTTCATGTAACCCAGCTTCTCGGATTATTTGCTTAGCATACATGTTGAATAAGTATGGTGAAAGAATACAGCCTTGTCACACAACTTTAACTTTAAACCATTCAGTGTTCCCATGTTCTGTTTGAACAACTGCCTCTTGATCCAGGTACAGATTCCTCAAGAGCACAATTAAGTGTTCCAGAATACTCATACTTTGCAATGTTGTCCATAGCTTGTCATGATCCACACAAGTGAAAGACTTTGCATAGTCAATAAAGCATAGGTAAACATCTTTCTGGTATTTTCTGCATTCAGCCAAGATCCAATGGACATGAACAATGATATCCCTCGTTCAACGTCCTCTCCTGAATCCAGCTTGAACCTCTGGAAGTTCTCTTTCAATGTATGCTTGTAGCTGCTTCTGTATTACCTTTAATGAAACTTTACTCACATGGGATATCAAAGATACTGTCT